TTTATATACATCTTTCATTCAACATACTTCTTTTTAAATCGAACCATTTCCCTTTATACGTGGAGGAACAAAAATAAAAAATGCATATAGAATGTAGAACTTTTTCAACTTAATTTTTGAAAATGTTACGAAAATACTGACACTTTTATGTATATCTTAAATTAAATTTTATGTAATATACTTACTACGAACAAAAAAAAATTCAAACTATAGATTGTCTTCATGGTGAAAGTGGTTACCATATTCAAAAATATTCTATTTTAGAGTTATAATTGATGGTTTTGTATTTTATTTTATTATAAATAAAATACAATACCCAACCCAACCTTTATAAAAGTTTTTGAATTAAAAAAAATTTTAACTTATTTGATTTTTATCTCATTTAGATTTAATAACTTCTATAAATATTAAGGATCTCATTAATGTAGTCTCCTTTCGTGTGAAGATATTTTTTATTCATATTAAAATTATTTTACTATGATATTTTTTTTTTGTGGCTCTCATTTATTTTCTCAGCTCATACTTGACCAATGTTTTTTAACGATACATCAAATGATCACAACTATTATCTAGTTAAATATATTACCCTCAAAAATTGAAAAAAAAATCCCTCTATCAATTAAAAAGTTGCTTAACCAGCTTTTTCAATACAGACAATTAAAATCATTCATTTCTAATATTTTTAATGTATTTATTGTCGAATTAGATTTGATATGATAAAAGTATTCAACTGCCAAAAGTAAATAATTTTACTTTGTAATTTATTAATTTTTTAACTCTATTTATGTGTGTTACTAACAGTCTATAATATTCCAAATTTTTTGGTAACATGTTGCTATATAAATCGTTTCTAAAAAAAAATTATTTTTAGTTTCAACTGAATTGAACTATAAATTCTTACAATTATAATCAAATTTTATAATACGCTTCTTAATTTAGTAGATTTTTCAAACAACTTTTTTATTGTTTTTTTTAGTTAAAGTAAGTCATTAATAATAATTAATTTCTGAATATTTCAATTGTAAAATCTTTTAAACACTAAAAGTTACTTAGAAATGAATACTATGATTTCTATTTAAGTGATCAATTACGGTAAAAAAATGCAAAAAAAATATTGAGTTTTTCTGGTAAATTTACAGTAAATAGTAAATATAAAATTTCCTAGCTGCATATTAATATTATCAATACAATTTTTAATTTTCTTATTAATGATGTAAATTTCAAACTTGCAAGCTGAGCTAAAAGTTATGGTAACAAATTCAACTTTTTTTGATTATAAACTTTCAAAAAATCAAATTTAAAGGACCAAATATATAGGTTATAAGTGATATTTTGCACTGATATTTTTTAATATATTAAAAACCATAATCAATTATAATTTAAAGCACTTATTTTTTTTGTTTTTAAATAATTTTTTTATAAGTAAATACTCATTTTTTAATAATTAGTAATAATATAATAACTTAGATTGATAGAAAAAGTCTAATTTCAGTATTGAAAACAGTGCATAAAGTTGATTTAGATCAGTATATTTTTGATTCTGATGAAAATTCTTTGTAGACCAATGTATTTATTCATATGTAAACAAATTTTTTTTTTAAGTATTGCTCAAACCCTTTAATTTTTATACATGTTTGTCATAGAAGTAACAAAATATACTATTTTATCATTTTTTATTATTTCTTCGTAAAAATTAAAACATAAAATTATTAAATATTGATATCATGCTATATTTAATTTCTATAATAAATATTTATTCATAAATTATACTTTTAAATCTAAGAACTAATAATCAGGATATAATTAAGGAAATAGGGTTCATGCTGTTTTTGTAATAATGCGCCAATTTCATAGAATTAAATACTATCTACAGATATGCATCGAAGCGTTTCTTATGATAGTGATTTTAATCACTGTCAGATATCATCTATACTTGTCCCAACTATCTCATGTCCATATTGTGCTGTGACCCCACTGTGCTATCATTTTTTTTTCTTAATCAGGAATGAAATATAGATTTCTAAGCTAACTTAATTTTTACTTTGAAAACTACAATAAAATTGTTTTTAAAATCTCACTTTAAAAAATATATATTTAAAGTTTTTGAGGTAATTTGTAAATACTAGTCAATTTTATGTAAATAAAATAATATACTTGTAGTTTAAAATAAAAATATTGATATTATTATGATTATAATCTGTACAAAATTTCGAACATACTTGTAATGTTTATCCTATTTTTAGGCTTTTAAATATTTTTATCATACTTAAAAAAGAGGTACTATAATGTAATCTCCTAGAGACTAATCGCCTATACTGTGGGTCATATAGTAAGGTGTCCCTGTCCATTCCGTTATCTTTTCTATTAAAAAACGTAAAAGAATGAGAAATTGCTATTAATAATGTTGGGGTGCTAGGCATGTCTCGACATACCTGTGCACAAATTGCCATTGATTGAAGTGTAACAAATTCCATAATATTAGCATTCGCTCATTCATCGTTTGCAAACTAAAAGACTCTATCTTTAATGAAAATTGTGTATATAATAGAACTTTTTGGTTCTCGTATCATGAATTAATTATTGCAATAATTAAAAATTAATTTTCAAACTTGGCTTAATATTGATAACTGAAGGTTAAAAGTCAGTTGTAATCATTACACACAGTTGATTATGTTTATGGGAATTAATTAGCCATTGAAATACCATTAATTTCGAGTCTTAATAATAATTAATTAATTTCTAGCTTATATGATAAGGTAATAAGGATATGCATTTATTTGCTATAAATTGACGACTATTTCATAAACTGCATCTTTTTTAGAACGATAGACTAATAAATAATAAATAATAAATTTTTTTAAAGAACATTATATAATATACATTTGATTTTATTCTCTAAAATATGTCTAAACTAATTATCATATTTCTAAATGTATTGCTCAATTTGTATTTTACTTTCAGTTCAGGAAATAGCATTCTTCATTTAAATCTTACCGCAGGTACTAACTAGTTGTACAAAAAAAATTTTATTTTTATTGATTCTCTTCTTGTACGACTATTCAATTTTTATAAATAAATTATTTACACTACTCTAATGGATAAATTATAATTTTATATCCAGTTTCCATTAGCTGAATAACTTAATTAAATTCGGTACTTAAATTATATTATACAGGTGAATTATGTCTAAAAGGAAATAATGAATTTACTTCCAATTCTTATTGCCGCCGTTTTGACGAATGTCCCGAGAGTAGAAGGCAAACTCCACAACACGTCGTTCCTATACTATGTTCGTTTAATGATTCATATCCTATAATATGTTGCCTACCAAAGGACTATGAAACGAAACGGCCAGGAAATACGACCGATGATCAAAAACAAGTGGCTAGCAAAAGTAATTGGCTGAAATACCTTTGATTGTCCATGTTATTATAGTGTTTTTATAATTTATTTATTATAGTGTGTCATAAATATTCTAAATTTGTTCATAGAATACCGGAAGTTCCAGATTTTGTGCCTTATATTGTCGGTGGTAAAAAAGCTGTACGTGCCGAATTTCCTCACATGGTAATAATTATCTGAATATAAAGTAGTCCATTTATGAAACGTACGTTCGTGAACGTTACGTTTTAATTTACATAAATCAATGTGGCGAACGTTGTTCATGAACGAACGTTCGGTTGTAACAAATACTAGACACCATCCGATAGCGAACAGACGGCTATTTATAACTGTAAAACGAGTTAACCTTCATACCGAACTTTTAGGTTAACATATTTACCTAAAGTATAATTTTTAATCGGTATTTTATTTCATTGATTTAATAAATTAAACTAATTAATTATTTACTAAAAATATTTAAGCGGAAATAGGGGTGCGTGATGGTCTAAAATCATTCATTTGTTTCCCTAATTAACATAAAAATAAATATTATATAATGACATATATTTTTAATAATATAACTAAATATGTATATAAGGTGTTCAATATAAATGAGGAAACGGGTTGTTATTGTTCTCATTGTTAGTAAAAATTTACCAATTCCCTTACTTTTAGAACTTTATAATTGTTCAACATGTTTTTATTTAAACAATTATTGACACTAGTTGATTATTAATTTGTATTATTAAAAATTATTAGGTTCAATTTTTATTTTACGTTCTTATATTTAAGAAAATTAAAGTCTTTATATTCACATTTAATTTATAATTTAAATTTCATGAATACCTTTGCACAATATCGATTGTTCAAAGCAGCTTACCCATTTAGAGAACTATTTTTTTAAATAATTAACGCAAATTAAATTTTAAATGTCAAATGTATATACAATATTATATACTCAACAAATATTTGTTTTATACATTTAAGTATTAATTTTTTTAGTTTGTTTTGACATGCATTTAAAGATTCATTTTCAATTTTCAAAATGTAGTTTACAGTGCACCAATGACACATAACAATAGTTTCTTATCTTATTAAGTGCAACATCTATATTATAATCATTTAATTTTTATAATTTCCAAGGGTTTACCTTCTTTAATTTTTTTTCCAGACTGTGTCAATGTTTGAAATTTGTTAACGAAGTTAAGGCTTTGGTTAAGGGTGATATTTATGAGATTGTCCGGTGCGATAAAATATCTTAAATTAACCCTAAATACGTATTAATTCTTTTTCTTCAAAATTTTTAAACTTTCACTTTGATAAACTAATAGATAAAAAGTTTATTATGGTCTATCATGTACAAAATATTGAGCGTTTAATTTATGGTAATAGTTAATTTTATCCTTGCAGGCTCTTATAGGCTTTGGAGACACGATTGAAGAAGTTGATTGGACTTGTGGAGGCTCATTAATAAGTAATAATTGGGTTTTATCAGCTGCGCATTGTGTTGAGTATGTAATATTGCCGGAGGATATTCATATAGAAGGTGTTCCCAAGTATGTTTCTATTAATTGAAACAAATATTTTTAAATGCTTAACCTTTTTTTTATTTTACATAGCATTGTAAAAGCGAAGTGGGTTCGTCTTGGAGCTTTATACGTAGAAGATAGTAGTGATTATAATTTTCGTAGCGATTATAAAATAATACAAAGTATAATTAATCCAAACTATCAAGAAGACATTTCATACAATGATATTGCTTTATTCCGGCTAGATAGAGAAGTTCAATTTTCAGATTATGTCAGACCTATTTGCTTAAATGTTGATAAATCCCTTGAACCCCAAAAAGTGCTGGCTACAGGCTGGGGCAATACATCACCTGGTAAGACGATATTAATTTTTGTATTTAATGTTGGTAAATAAAAAAAAACTTGAATCTTACAGGTGGAGATTTTAGTTCTTGTCTATTAAAAGTTGAGTTAGACTATATACCAGTTTCATATTGTAATAATACCTATTCTTTAAATGTGATAGAAAACTTAATATTTGGAGTATTTGATGAAATTCAATTATGTGCTGGTAGTTACCAAGGAGGAAAAGATACATGTCAGGTAATATGTATAATAAGTAATATAGGATGTTTCAAAAACTTCATATAATTAAATTTAATAAATCTAACTTTATTGATTTAAGTTCAATAACCATTTGACGAGCATAATTATACACATATTCTTAGAAATATAAGTTTGTCAAGTTTATTTGTATTAATAATGAATTTATCTAGGAATCTATTAGAAGGATACAAACACACAAATCACAAAATGTAACAAAAGGACTAACACACAACACAAAACTCTNATGTAACAAAAGGACTATCATACAACACAAAACTCTTTATATGAGCTTTGCTATATTACTTTTACTATGTTTTTGTAAATACTAGTCAACTACAAGTATTCAGCTAAATTATTATAGGACTAATAACATTAATGTCTCAATTTCTCAAAGCATATAAATAAATATATTTGACAAACTTATCTTTTTGCTAGTATATAAATAAAATTATTATAATAATTTGTTACTAACAAATCTAATTTATTTCATTATAAGAAAATGGTCAAATTTGACATTGTTTCTTAATATATTGAAGATTATATTTTGGCTCATACAATTAACTAAAATAAAAATTGAATTTTAATTATTTAATAAAGGCCATAAGTATATATTATATAAGGATTTATTTCTAAGAGCAATTATATTTTTAGTTAAATAATTTTTTCTATGTATTAAAATTTTTTTTAATTGTATTCAAGTGGAACAGATCTCACTGACAACTCTCATACTTTTATCTAATAAAATTTTTCTCTTTTTATTTTCTATAAATTTTAGCTTACTTCTTGAGCTATAATTTAAATTTATTATCATTAATTAATCTTTTTCTGTTAATAACTTTTTTGAATATTTGAAGATATCAATTTTATATTCTAGTTTTAAAGAAAAATATTGATTTTATATTGATTAAAAAAAGTAAAAAGTGAAAAATCCTATATGTTAATACATAAAAAAAAAAAATACACGTACATATCTTTCATTTTGTGTTGTTTAACTACTTTATTGACATTTCCCAACTGAAATAATAGAATAAAACAAAAAAATATATATGATATTTATTTTTATTTATAGGGCGATTCTGGAGGACCTCTTCAAATAAAACACGCAAATTACCCAGGAATGTATACACAAATAGGAGTAACATCTGTTGGAAAATCATGCGCAGATAAAAATTTTCCTGGTGTTTACACAAAAATTTCCAATTATATCTCGTGGATTGAACAAATTGTATGGCCAAATTAAATACTCCTAGTGTAAAACAGAAAAATTAAGGACTTTTTTTACTTAAATATTAAAATTTTTAAACTACTTAAAATTATAATCATTTTTTTAGTTTTCGTTTATAACTTCTTAAAATATTAACTAAATTAGAGTTTTATTATCATTTGTATTTTAGAATTAAACTTCATTAAATATGAATATAAATTATACATACTTTGAATAACAATTATTATTTTTATTTAAAATTTTTTTTGTAACGTACCTATTATTATATTTACACGAGTCTTTTGTGCGGGTCTCAACTTTAGTTAATCGTCGAAAGTTTAATAATAATTTTCAAATTAATAAACTCCTGAAAGGAAATTTATTTTATGAATTTAGCAATAAATTACTTATATCTGAATTGTTATTCGATAAAGGAGAGTGGACAAATATTAATATACACATATCTACTTATTACGTTAAACGGGTCTTACTACCAAACACATTTATTAATTAAATTAGATTGGAGTAGTATCAATAAATTCATAAAATTAGGTATAATGTTTGTTTTATATATATTTAAATAATAAATCACACATAATGTATTATTTTAGAATTAAAGAGAAAAGAGAATAACTGTACTCAAAGATATCCGATCAATTTATTGCACTGATTAATTAGTTACGCTTTTAAAACTATAGTAAAATAAACTATAAATAAACAGAGTATACAAAATATAAACGTTCTGATGATTTGTCTATTATAAGTAATCGGTCTTCCAATTCAAAAATCACGTTATTTTCGGTAAATGTGATACATAATTGGTTTCAATTACAAATTGAAGCGTTTCTCGACAGTGATTTTAATCATTATGTCAGACATGAAACAGTATTACTCTAATGTAAATGTTTCAAATCCACAACGCGGGTTCTCGACTGTACTTAACAATTTAAACTTAGATTGTTTAAATTCGTATTGATGTCAATATTATAAATATAATAATATTATATTATTTTTGTTTAGTGTTTTCATAACAAAATATACATGTGGAGATTCTAGTATTATTAGCAATGCAATTATTTATGACTAACTAATTTATGAATAAATATCATAGACAATTTAAAGCATAAATCATATGTATGATGCCATTAAAAAAAATAAAATTGATACTTCTATAAGTTATTTGGAATGATTTAAAAAAGTTAAAAATTAAAAAAATATAATATAGCTAACAAATCTAGAAATGTGTATAACTAAAAAAAAATTTGTTTTTCAATATTATATTTATTTTTGAGTAATTAAGTGGTTTTTGATAAACGGATCATTCTATACATAAAATGTAATTCAAAAGATATTATCTTTTGAATTACATTTATGATTTAACAAATATTTCATAAAAATACATTGATTGTTTGATTTATAAAAATATATTGATGTGTTTAATGTATTTTACAAAATGTATTGTTTTATAGAACATTGAGTCTTAACATAGATAAGTTAAGATAATATCTGATATATTAGGGGAAATACCTTTGCTACGAACTAATAATGTTCCAACATTTATATACTTCGACATTTGACAAAGTATTAATGTTCCGAACATTTGGTACTCCGTACATCTGATACCATAATTACGATGAATTTTACTCTGACATTATGTATAGTCAACATTATTATTTTATTTATATACCTATTTTTATTTAAATATTTACTATCTATATAGTGAGATGTAATAAGAAAATAGTCAAATTGTGAAACTTTTTTTGACAGTGTTTTTATATGTTGCTTTTGTTTCAAGATGATCCTCGTTTGAACGACTTTCAGCTTTGGCGAAATTTAATCGATCTCGATTGGGGAATAGTATGACACGGTTCCATATATTTTGCGATACGTTTGATACCCAGTCCTCCGTTTCTTTTATCAGCCGCCTTGTGCACATCGCAAGACCAGCCTGATTAGAGTACCCTCGCTATCTAACTATAGTGCAAAGTCTATCAATCTATCTATCTACTGGTCGTGGTCGACCACCAAGAGCCGGCGGTGAACGCTCTCTCCAGTATCAAACGTTTTACGTGCATATACGCATTCTAATCTTTCAATTTCCTTTTAAGTTTTTTTTACTCCTTATAGCATTGTTACCTGAAGGTAAACTTTGTTTTATTTTATTTTAAAAAACGGGACATTTTATCGTGTTACGGTATTGTCTTTTTTTCCTTTGTGATGTTCAAATATAATTGTTGAACTGGCCAGCGCCGTGTTAAAATTCATTATTATTGATACCTATTTATCGATAATAAGATTATCCGTGTCAAGTATCGATCTGGAATCTTGGAAGTCCCCGAGACAATTTTCCTCAATGACCACAGAAACGATTTGCTTCATGGCGAGAAAAAAGTCTCAAATTTAATGCGGACTCAGGAGGTCCTCATTCAATCATCTCAACGATAATGTCGTAGTAAAATCCAAATTTTTGTAACCAGTATTCGTAGTAATTATTGTCAGAGGATTTTATACAATGTCGGAGTATATGAATTTCGGAACATTATCAGATCGTGGTAATCCCTTTATATTATATATTATAAAAATAAACTAGTAATCACAAAGAGGATAGAAAATTATAATATTAAAAACCAGGAGTTTATAAATGTTGATAACGAGTCTCAATATTTTAGCAAAATAATGTTATCGATTGATTATTCAATTGTGGATTCAAACACTACTAAATTCTTATCTAATTAATGTTGTTTGAATTATTGTGACATTAATATTTTTTAAATAGAAGTAAATATCTATTTATCACAATAAAACTTGTGCAATTCAATCTTGATTAATTGAATATACAAATAACAAACAGCTTGTTTTTATCGCCATGGTGATGATGTATGAACAAATAGCTAACGATCCACAGTTATTGGCTACAGCTAATGCTTTTGTTGATGATATTATTGAAACCGCTAAAATAGAGGCGGCTAAACGAAATTTGGTAATGATTGCAATATTTTTTATTTCAACGTAATTTCATAATTTTTTTCATTTTTAATACCTTATTAACAGTGTTTATAATAAATGAATATCTTTTTTTTATCAATATTATATGTTTAACTTATTTTTAATTTGGTAAGTTAAGTATTAAGCAAAGCGATATAGATAATACCATATGTTTTACCATTAAACTCTATTGAAATTTCTAGTGTTTCACGAAAAGTTTTTCTACTTCAAATATTAAATTATAATATTAAGTTCATAAAGAACTATTATAACTTAACAGTATCCAAATTTAAGTGATTGTTTAGGTAGTAAAGGAAAAGTTATTTTTGTTAATTATTCAGAATTATTTTGTTTGTTAATTGTGTACTCAGTTTTTTATTGATTTGCATTATTTATAAATTTAGTTGTTATTAAAACACAATTGGACTGGTGTTTTAGAGGGTATATTGTATTGATTTGTAAAAGAGTTTACTATACCTAATTACCACATTACAAGTACTGAATTTATGTTTACCTTAAAGTATACAATTGTATACTTTGTACAAAAAATACTTGCATATCTATTATATATATATATTCATAATTATCTTACAAAAATACTACTTATTTTATTGTGATAAAATAACAATTGTAATTTATAGTTGATATTTGTTAATGTATTCTTTAATATTTATAAACTTGTTATATATTAAAGCATTGATTTAATTTTTTTAGACAAAATGTAATGGCGGATCACGAATTTGTAAGTAAAATTAAATTAATTTTTTCAATTATTAAGTGATACTATAATCCAAATATATTATAATATAATTCTTTATAGTTGAAACAAATTTAAAAAAGATAAATGAATGGCAAAATCGAGCCAAGGGTGCTTTTAGAAGATTTATGACATCTGTTTGTATAAGATTTCAAGATCTAACATCCAAGTAAAATCTTTTATAAGATATTTAGAAATTTAGTTACCTGCACAAATATGTACAATCATTCCTATTTGAAATGTTAGCACAAATATTATACAGAATAAATTATAATTTATGTAAAAAATCAATAATAAATTATGTTCAAACATTATTGCAATAAAATAATTAATGAAATTATAATNAATAATAAATTATGTTCAAACATTATTGCAATAAAATAATTAATGAAACTATAATTTTTAGCATATGTTACCACTATAAACAAGCAATAAATTATTGTTAACTGATATATAAATATAAAAGCTAGTTATTAATATTACTTGATATAATTGTTAACTAGACAATTCATAACATTTATCTTAGTATTTTAAACACTGAAGTATGATTCAAAATATCTTGTATCACATCTTAAATATAATCAAATATATACTATGTGAAAAAAATTTAATTATTTCATGAACATAAATATTTGGAATTAGTATAATTACTTGCAGTGTATAAATTATTTCTTTATATAATTTTGTTAAAACTAATTATACATAATCATTAATTAATTTCTCTTGGAAATTAATTGACATTGTCCCGAATAAGTGAATATTTTAAGTTAAGTCAATAATTATTATAAATAAATATTCTTTCATAAAACAATAAATTAAAATTAGTGAGTTTTATATTGATAAAAAAAAATTGTAGATATAAACATATATATATTATAACTAATCTTTTAAAGGGTCACTGTCTAAAGGGTTTTGTGTGATTTAATATTTATGATATTTTATTGAATTTTAAGACACTTTTAATAAAAAAGTTAAACAATGTACATGATTTATTTTGTCACAATTATGTAATATTAATATTAAAAACCTGTATTTTATCTATCATTATTTTCTATAATAATTATATGTTAAAAAAAATTAGTAATATAGTTTTTTATTTCTTTTTAATCACAATTTTTTTATAAATATTTAAGAATAAATTGTTTATAAATTATTGAGACTAACTTTCTAATGAATAAGAATGAATGAAATTTTTAAAAGTACTATAATTACTGCTCTTTTATATTTCATAATTTAGTTAGTTATTTATTATTTATTTTTATTTTTAGTTGTTTCTATTGCAGTTCAATCAAAATGTAGTCTACTACCTTTTGGTTTAAACTTTTAATTCCATTATATGTCATTTATTCATTTGAAGATTTCTTATTTTCTTCATTTTATAATTTTACAATTTGTATGTAATTATTGTAGTTGTAATAACTTTCAGATTCTTAATTTCTGTAAGCTTAAAGTTCTAAAGAAATATTCTATGTTTAAGTGTATTAAATCAAATCAATTTATCGTTAGAAGACTAATTTTATAATATAAGTATTAATTAGATTATTAAAATTAGTTACCATTGAAAGTGTACTAATAATCTTAATTTATTTTATGTTATGTTCTTCTAAATGATTATTTTTTAAAATAAATTATATACACAGGGTGTCCCATAATGTTCTAACAAATCCATATACAGTTCTTATGACAAATTGTCAAAATATCAATAAAGAAAAAAAAACTAATAGAAAAATTACTAATCCATAAAAAATAAGTTCAATTTTTAATTATTTTAAATCTTGGGAACAAATATTGTAAGTAAATTTAATGCTATTATATAAATGTAATATAAATTTATATTATTACTGAATAGCTATGAATGTTGAATTGAATATTAGTTTGTATGCTGTATAAATATGTATAATGTACGAGTTAATTTTATTTATACAATATATAAATAATGGTAATAATTTATCAAAATACATTCCAGTGAATAATGATAATAATTATATCTAATTTTATAACCTTCAAATGTATCATTATAAGGACTGTTAATTCAAAATAAATTAGATATAAGTCTAACTGTTATTTATAAGCACAAACAATTAACATATTTTGTGAAACAAATATTATACTTATAAATTGTTTTATGTTTGACATATTTCAATAAAATTAGTTATTGTGATGTTGTTTTTGATATTAACTGAAGAAGTCAAATAAATATGTTTAACTAGGGCCTATTAGTTAAATAATTAAAAATTATTTATTTATTTAAATATAAAAATATTTATATCTCGAGGATAATTTTAGTATGGGTTATTGATAATTTAAGGATGTTAAAACTTAGAATCTATTTTATAAGATCAATTAAAGATTTTTGGTTTGAAACCTGAACTGTTAAATGGAAAGTTAATAGAGGTAATGGAATATAATAATAAATTATGATGATCCTTAGTTTATTTTTCTAAATAACAGTTTTCGTATAAAATATAGTACATATTAAAAACTATATTGATTATGTTAAATGTATCTTAGCATCCAGACTGCAAATTCATTGAGGATATTGTTTTTGTGATCATTGAAGTAGTGTTCAAACTTTTGTTTACGCCCAATTTAAAACTTTCCAATAACAAAGGCAATGCCATTTCTAAAAAAAATTACTATTACTACATAAATTTAAATAGAATATAAGGGTAAACTACCTTTACACATAGATAATGAATCAATTTTGTTGCGAATTGTACTGGACACTTCATTATCATCAGATATTAATGCAGTCAATATAGCAGGTAATAATATTGTGTTAGTTGATAATACAGTTTTTCGACAATTCAAATAATGTAAAAGAAGACTAAATGATGGAATGCGATAATTTGATGATGGATTTCTTATTAATGTAGTTATTTTGTACAAAAATGGTTCTAAAATTTTATTAGTACGATGAACTGAACGTTCCATTTCACCAAGCATATTGTTGGCAGTATCTGAAATAATTTAATGTGTTTTTTATTAAAAGTAGTAACTTATTGTATAAATTGCATAAATATATAATATATGGTTCACATCAGGCAGAGAAGACATTTTGGGAATGGGTATTGCCTTATTTTTGTTAGTGCGACACCAATTTTTTTATAAAATAATTCTATTTATTTTTTTAGGAAGGAGGTATAGTTTCTATGCCCCTTTTCTCTTGTATCTCTGTCTAATTCATATTGACAAACGGCATTTGGATAAATTTATACAATTCTAAATAAACATTATAATTTACCATAATCTTTAAAACAATTGAAAAATTTATCATATGGAATGTCATTTGATGTATCATTGGTAGGTTGTAAAACAATAACTTTATCATTTTGACTGATCACCAGATTAAGGTTTCCAATATTTTTGTATTTTTCAATGAGATTACTAGATATAAACAAAATATTTAATGTTATACATTAAAATAAAAATAGTTATAAAAGAAAATTAATCACCTAAACCAAATAATATGCGATTTAATAAACACCATTGCATCTTGAGAGTTATGACTAATATAACTGTGAATACGGTTTCCAAACTTAGCCAATAGTGTATTAAATTCTTTTCGTGTAGGACTTACACTGTTTAAATTATTCTACAAATAAAGATGGTAATTAATTAAATTTTACAATAACTATATAATCATTGATATGATATATAATAATAGATCAGTCAACTTTACACTTTTAAATGATTTCTATAAATCATCCTATATTCTTGTACTAAGACATGTATGATAAAAAATGAACTAAATCTTATTTATTAAAATGAAAAATATTATAGAATCAAAAGAGAAAAAATATTTTACAATTAAATAATTAATTTTACATCAATACTTTTTATATGCAACTATAGTTTTCACAAAAAAAAAAAAAAAATTTTTTTTTTTGGTTTTTAAAATTTAAATAACAAAATGAGAATTATTTTCGCTCACACAATTAAGTAATATTGAACTAAAAAATATTGTTTTCTTAATAAACATCTATATTACTGTTTTTTAATAATTTTTTTTTTCTAGAGGTAACGTATATCAGATAACTCATTAGTTTGGTGTTATACTCATACATAATCTTTTGTAATTTTTTTTTTTTAACTTATTTTAATTTTTAATTTAATAGTTAATTGGGTGGTTGTAGTGACTGCACATACACTCAACTTTTTCAGAAATTTAGTAAAATTATACGTATTGTTATATAAACATTTTTTTTTTTTTGAAGGGGAAAATTAAATTTAANATTATATGTATTGTTATATAAACATTTTTTTTTTTTGAGGGAAAATTAAATTTAACCTTTCCAAAAGATTTGGTTATCCTATCCCATTGTTACCACAGCATGACTCATTCTCAACTGAACTGAACAGGCTGTCTTAAATCAAAATGCATTAAATAATACCAATTATTAATTCTAAATGAATAAGTATTAATTAAAATAATATACTTACACAGATAATTGTAAGGAAAATTTCAAAAAGTTTGTGAATAGCTTCTTTATAAAATGGTAAATAAACAGTTGGTTCCAAGCTCTCTACTAAATCTAAAATATTATTAAGCAGTAAAAGATGACCTGATTTCATTGCCTTAAATTCTAAATAACAACATCTCTGTAAAGGTGCAGATAGAAGTTCAAATACCCTATAATAAAGAACATATCAATATTTATTAAATTATTTTAGAAGCTATAAAATATATTAATTCAATTAATTTAAAAGAAATTGTAGACTCTTAAACATTTATGTTTGAGCAATTATAAAGCGAATAAAAACTCAAAACAACTCTGGATATTTTGGGTTTTTAAATTGATATAGCTAAGTAACATATGAATTCGGAATCATAAAACTTATGACTCTATCTTTAATAGTAGTTACAATAAAAATAAAATAATTAAAACAAGGTAATTATATAATTTAACAAAAATTTAATAAAAATAAAAATAATGAAGCCATTCGATTTCCAAGAGTATTAACATTAAGGGATATTTATGTTATTTTTTTCATAGAGAAATAAACATATTGGCATTTAAAGTATTAAAACCAAAAATATAAAACATTTTTAAGAAAATATCTAATAATTTTTTAGAACAATTTCAAAAAATAACTATCATCATCTGGGATATAAACAAATTATACAAGTTGAATTTAAGTTCTAATCCCTCTAGATTATATAGACTTTCTTTTAAAGCATTTAAAAATAAAATTATTACTATATCAAACTACTTTTCCTATATTGAAACACAAAAATTAAAATTTTAAAGTTTTAAAGTTTTTCACTAAAAATTTTATATATAATAAAAATTTCAGTTTAACCCATCTTCTTCTTTTTTCTTGTCTTTATCTCAACTACTTGGAGACGACTTCCCTTGTCCTAAACTTCCACTTGACACAATTCCCCACATCATCGACACACAAATCAACCATCCTCACATCGCATAGAATAAAATTTCTCCATCTCTTTTTTGGTTTTCCTCTATTTTTTTTTCCCTCAAAAAAAATTTCCATAACTATTCTTACAGCTTCCAATTCATCTCTCCTCTCAAAAATGATCAAACCAACTGAGTCTATTTTCTCTCATCTTACCTTATCTTATTAACGCTACACCTCTTATATGTTCATTTCTTATCCTATCTTTTTTAGTTACTCCACTCATCCATCTAAGCATTCTCATCTCTGTTCTGTTCTCTTATCAACTGCCCAACAATTTGAATCATACATCATTTCTGGTCTCATTACAGTATTATAGAACTTACCTTTCAACCTCATTGGAATTCTCTTATCGCATAACACACCAAATGCTTCTCTCCTTTTCAACCACTCACACTCAATCCTGTGTCTTACATCCTCGTCAATACCACCGTTCTTTTGCTCAACTGATCCTAAATAGTTAAAACTTTCTATCTTCCAACCACTTCACTTATTATCACTGAACTCCTCATTCACCTACTTCATGTTCTCCTTTGTCAAACTCGTACCTCGTAATTTCCTCCCTGTTTTCTCCTATTAACACTATATCATCAGTAAATAACATGCACCACGGCACCTCTCCTTGTATTTCTTTAGTAATTTCATCCATCATTATAGAAAATAAGCAAGGGATTAAAGCAAAACCTTTGAGCATTCCTACTCTTACCCTAAAACCTTCTGTTACTCTGCCCACACTTTTTACAAGTAAATTGTATTATATTATATGTATCTATATTATATGAATGTACCTTTTAGGAATTCCTTTTCTCATTAATGCCCACTTTAAAACCTCTCTTGGTACTCTATCATACACTTTCTCCAAATCTATAAATACCATACACAGCTATTCTACATTTCATTTATATATCCCTCAATATTTCACACCATTCTCTCTTCTACCATTTTTTCAATTTGAATCATATTAAATAAAATATTTATACTAAAAATATTTAATAGAACTCTTTATTTTTAAATCTTTATACCTTAAGAAAAGAATGGGGTGTGTAGTACTTAATCTTTTTGCCAAAATCTCATAATCATAAATCTTTTTATTTAATTCTTTTTCTCTTTTAATTTTGGTAGATACAATTGAAGAAACGACAGTATGTGAAATTGAATCTAAAGTACATCCTTCACTTTCTAAATAATTAATTAATAATAAAATAATTATGCAGTTATTAATAATATTAATTTAATACTATAAGCTAAATACCTTTAATTATAGCTGGATCTAAAAATTTATCCATTCCATAAAATTGTAATTTACTTATAATATTTGGGTCATTAGCATAAACAAGACTCAAAATTTGTTTGAAAACTTTGACATTATCACTGAAAATATTTACAAATTTTTTAATAGTAGCTGAAATAGTTATTTAATTTTTTAAAGATATTTAATTAAAAAATGCACAATAATGTACTAAGTTAAAAACTCCACACTTACAATAATTGTTATCATTATTAGCAATTAACACATACTGTAATGATGTTAATGATATATTTATTATTTATCATTCAATATTGCAATTACTACAAATACTTAATTATGCATTCTTCGAGCACATAATTTTCATTCTAATACCTGAACTACTTAAATTTTAGAAAATATTTTATATTATAAAGTATAAAATTTATATATCATATATAAAAATTTATCATAAATAAAAAAAGCTTATGAAATTATGGTTAAATAAAATATATATTTTATCACAACTATTATCATTATCTCTATAGTCTACATCCAAACTTTTGGGGTTGGCTCCACTATACATTACATGATAGGATTTTTTACAAGAGCTATCAACCTGTCATAACCTTATTATAGAGAGGCAGTTAATAAGGGGGAATGGTGTATGTTTCTGTTGAAATTTATATAAACCCATTCAGAAGCCAACAGCAAAGAAACACAGTTGAAAAACAATGCTAAGGTCCATTGCACCACACCACACCTCTTTTTCTTATCACAACTATAGTCATTTTAATTTACCTATTTATGTACTTCAAATGTATATTATGAAATATTTGTGTATAGTTATTTTTCGACATACAATGATTGAGTAAAACAGACAACTTTGTTTGCATAAAAGTTGATAAATCTTGCCAACTAATATTTGGATTTTCATGTTTCAATCTACATTCTTCTATCAGATAGAGAAGTAATGATGTAACCTTAAAAGAAAAAATATAATTTTCTCAATTAATTCAGTAGTAATAATCAATTAAAATATAACAAATATAATAAAAATATTTAAATTATATACATTTAAATAAAGATAAATAGTTAAAACAAGTAAATTCATAATTTAACAAAAAATTTGAATAATAATTTAAGAGTAGTTTTGAAGGAAATTTATAAAAATTGAATTGAAAAAAATTAGTTTTGATGTACATTTTAATAATTAGTATAAGTTGTTTTAATCTTAATTATAAAATATTAAAATAGCAGGTGCTATGAAAAATAAAATGAATAAATGATAACTAAGAGTGGGAGCTAATTATTTACCTGGTCATCATTAAGAAACATTAGTCTTTCAGTGGATTTATTTTTCGGGAGATTCATTTCCCTACCTTGCCATAGTTTAGGATTAGTAGTTATAGCTGAAATTAAGTCTAACACTGATGATGGTTCAAACCTTTAATTTGTATAAAATTAATTATCAATAAATATGTTTTTATTTTATAAGTAATACTTTAATTTATTGAAAGATTTTTAAAAAACTAATAAATATGCTTACATTTCAACATTATTCAAGTCTAAGAGTATGTCTAAAACACATTCCAATGATGACCAATTCATATGATGATTCAATAAAGTCAATAAATATGGTCTACAATTTCTCACAGAATCCCATTTATCTTCTACAGTTTTAGAAAACAACATATTCACCTGAAACATTATGATATGATTTTTCTAATTTAATTTTTTTTAATCAATATATTAGAAAAATGAAATTTTTTTTGTCATCTAGTCTTTTCAAATAAATTTTATAAATTAGATTATTTAATAAAAATTGTTTTCAATTAAAAAAATTCATTACTTGTTGCTCAATAGTTAAATCTGCTATTTTTAGTTCTATTTCTTTTTGCAAATCAACAAATAAAGAGCGTCTTTGAGTTTTAATAACCACATCAATTTCCATTTTATCTGGAGTTGTGTTTTTTTTTAGTTTTTTTATGATTCTTTTATTGGAATCTAAAATATAAATTTTCTAGTATGACCAAATTATAAACAAATGTATCAATTAATAATAAAACAAACCATATTTGTTAATATAACTTGTAAGTAGTGTGTGTAACATGCTTGTATGTTTTTGATTATCAATATTTGATATCATTAACTTAACAATAGCCATTAATATTTTATTATAACCCCATTTTGTCATTAAAACTTTAAGTAAATGATACGAAATATTTTCATTCACAACAGTCACATTAACAAATTCTTTGTTTTTTAACATTTTTTTCAACATAACAACAATCAAATGTTGGGCTTGAGAGGGAGTATCCTGTGATAAGAGCTGAAATTAATAATAAGTTAAAAAATTATCTTAACTAATAAAATGTAGAAAATTATAATTTAATTTTACTTGTAAAAGTGACATAAATTCTTCATTCACTTTTTTATAACTATACAATTTTTTCAATAAAGAATCAGAATTAATAGTACTGCTTTTATCTTCAACATCAAATGGCTCTTCTAAAAATATTTTTTACTTGAGTTTTTTTCTTTTAAACAATAATGAATTTAATAATAAGTAACCTTTAAAATTTAATTTTAACTCCTTTGTTGATTGAGTTTTTTCTATAATATCAACAGCCATTGGTTCATCATTTAATGTTAGTATAGATGAAAATACTTGACCTCCTAAAGNTAATATCAACAGTCATTGGTTCATCATTTAATGTTAGTATAGATGAAAATACTTGACCTCCTAAAGCTCCACGTCTTTGTTGTACTTGAACAAGTTGAACCATATAAGCTTTATCCATAACAGCTGCTTTAATAGCTTCAGCATCATGACACACAGCTTTGTCCAAAATTTCGAGTAACTTGCTAAAAATTACAATATAAAAATTTACAAAACATAAATTATAAATTAAATTTTTTAAATTACCTCATTGATGCAACAGGAATACCAAATGATTGAATGAATAAAATTAATTGAGGGGGTTCAAGATCAGTTAATGCTTCTTCTACAAGTCTAGGAACTCGAGATCTTATCATACGGAGTTTTAACCAATCTGGTATAAGTAATGCCTCCTCAGATGTATCAACTAAATAAGCCTACAAGATTATTGAATAAAAGGATAAAATATTATTCACTATGATCAAAATATAAAGTAATTACTTTAGGAACAAGTTTTTTATCAGAAGGAAACCATGCTTCCAATAAATGGTCAAATTTCATTGGGTCTTGAATACATTGAGGACCATAAGTTAGTAAAATTATCATAGCATGAACAACTAAAATATGAAGAGTACACTCTTGTCCACCAGGCCATGTAACAAGAATTTGATCTTGATTCTCAGACCAAGGATGATTTTGACGGCATGGTTGACGTGCCTGATAAAAAATATATATAAATTAAATTTTCTTTAAATTTGTATTATAAAATTTGCTAACATACTCTACATAAAAATGAATAAAATATATTGACAAGAGAATTTAGAGCAACATTAAAGACAGTCACTGTATCAGTTGATACTGGTAACACAGCAGCCATAACTGTACTTCTTTCAACAATTAACTGTGCCATATCAAGCACCATATCAGCTAATTGTTCATTTGTGAGTCCTTTATTTGTTTCGGAAGTTCGTTCTGCCAAGAATGTTAAGTATGCAGTTATTAAATGAGGGTCATTTTCTACTTGACATGCTTGACGTAATGCCATTACAATCTAAAAAATTTCAAAATGACTCTAACTATCTAATTTAAAATGTAAAAAATATATTATTTTACTAAATTACATTTTTTGTGTAAATAAAAACATGTAAAAAATATTAAAGTTTACCTGAGATCTAAATGCAGGAAAATTTGGTAATTGAGGTAAACTAGTCAACAACCATGATACATCAGTTTTAGCTTCAATCACTTTATCAATATCAATATTTTTTTCATCAGCAGAATTCAGGAGTAATTTTAAGCCCTAGAATTATCATTAAAAATATTTTATATAATTACTGTTTAATATATATATTAACACTAAATGTAATATTAACTCATCAATGCATATATTTTTTTGATATAATGTTGGCTTAAAGCAAACACACTAATAGAAAACTTCAAATTTTTAAAAGATAAACTAATGAAGCATAAAATATTTTTATTTTTGGGGGGAGGGATCACAACACATTTAAATAAAACATTTTATCTTCCATCATTTGCATTTTCTTCCAGTTTATTATAATAATTTGATTTATCAAATGAGCAAGTTTATTGAACAAATATTGAAATATAAATGAATTCTAACTTCTTAATAATGATAAAAAATAATAATAAATAATTAAATCAATATTTTAACACATTATTAAATAATATCTATGCAAAATAAGTTATTTTTCATAACCCCCCCCTTAATAACATATAAATTAAAAATAAGTTCAGAAATTTTTTTTGGTCTTTTCAGTCACATACATTTTTTGTTTCATCAATTATTAAGTATTTTTTAGGTTTATCTCTTATCTCTTTGTAAGTAATTGAGTGGGTTATGATAAACAGATTATCCTGTATTTAATAATTACCAATATAGCATTTTGACGGCTTGTAGAAGAGCTTAAACGCCTCAAAAAATATTCTAAGACTTCACAACTAATAGAAGGATCAGTATCTGGATACATTAGCAACTTTTTCAAATGATTCAATAGTTGATAGAATTTACCTTGTTGGCGACAACTGGGGCTTAATAAAAATTCACATAAACATTGAACTGGTAAGTGACTATAAAATTTAACAATATATTTATTATTAAATACATTATAACAAAATTGAAATAAATCAATTTTAATACTTTAAAGATCCTTCTGATGAATTTACTAAATCAGCTAACCAAGGCATTGATTGTGAAGTTCCTTGTCTTTGAATTATATCTAAAAGAAAATCAGGATCTCTTGATCTGCACAGTAAGTGACCTATTCGTAAATTTGTGTTCATAACTCTTAATTGATCTAAAATTGATTGAGGAGGACGTCTAGGTGGGCCTAAAGGATCCATGCCCATAAGTTGGCTTAATAATAAGCTATTTTGTTCAGTAATAGTGACTTTGGTAGAAGCAGCAGCAAGATAGGATTCAAATTCTAAAATTTTCTGTTTTTCAACTGACTGCATTTGTAAATCTTCAAGAAAGTTGGGAAATGAAAAATTATTTGTAATGCACATTTCAATGAATATTCGCAACATAGGATATGTCCGACAAGCCAGATTTCCAAACACTGAAGGAATATGTGAACAGTAAATCAACATAATTAACCAAGTTTTCCAATACAAATTTGATATTGCTAGTTGAGGTGGTGTGTAACCAGCTGGTAATTCAATTTTTTCAGGATGATGATAAGCACAAGTACTTAACAAAATATCAAACAATTCATAATTGTCAGCTGAAAATGTTTTAATATTCTTTATATTTATATATTTATAACTTTTTTAATTACATAATTAATAACTTTACCTTGAATGGGGTTAATAGTGTGATAAACTTGTAGAGAAGCTGCACGTTTTACTAACTGATCAACTAATTCTAATGCATCTGGTGAATTTAAGTGATGCTCTTTTGATAGCCCCATTTTAAGTATTGTTATAACTATACCTTGCAATAAAGGAACTTCAGTAGCAATCCTAAAAATAGTACTTCTATCTTGCTCTGGAGGCCAACTTTCTAATTTATAATATTGATCAGGAGACTCCATCAACAATATCTAAAATATAAAGTATTTATGACCTTATATTTTTAAGCATTAATAAGAATAAAAATAAATTTTCTAATGCAATAAAAATTATTTTTACTTTATGCAATGCATGAACAAAATCAGTAGGCGATGGTCGATATATTTTAATAACATTATCATGGAGCCAAATTACACCATCTTTTTGAATTTTTGATATTGCATGCTGCATTTTCTCAAACTTAAAAAATAATAAACAATAAATATTATATAAATTATAACTTTTTTTTTAATTTAATTTTTACTTGTGCTAAGTCTTTTCGCTCTGAACGCATATATGGATACACAGTTAGAAATATACAAAGTGTTAATAAATCAACTATGCCTGTGAATACTCTTTCTTTAACATCAGAAGTACTATTTAACTCTTTGCTACTCATAAGCCCTTGACAAAAGGTTAAAAAATAAAAATCAGTTCGTACTTGGCGAAAAATTTCTCTTAAAAATACTCGTAATGATCTTAAATAATCATCTCTTAGAACAAGTAACTCCTAAAAATAGTTAATATGATATTATAAATTAATTAAAAATAACTATAAAAAATAGTTTTTTCTTAGATTCAACAACTATAACTTACACATTAAAAATAATTTTTAATTCATTTTGTTTTAATTAAAACAATTAATAAAATATTTTTTAACCATTTTCAAAATTAATAACTTTAAAATACAATTTTATTTTTAATATTCAATAATAACCTGGAAAATATCAGCAAGAAGTAATGCACTTTGATCAGGTTCTGCTTTAAATAGAACTTGAAGAATTGACATATTACTCGTATTGCGTGAAGTAGACATTTCATTATAAACAACATTTTTTATTATTACAGGTAAATTAGCAGGGCTAGCAGTAATTAATTCTCTAAAAAATTATTTTAAACTATTATTTTATATTTAAATCTCAATAAACAAATCAAATTTACTTGATACAAGATACATAAAAATTGCCAATTGACTTATTTTTCAATCTCATTTTAACAATAGTGGATATAATGTCAAAATCTCTCTGAGTACGAGAAGTACAATTCACACAGACAGCAAGTAAAAGTTCTTGAGCTGGTCTTACTAATTTGGCATTTTGTAACCAAACTTCTAACTTTCCAGCTACCATAGAGCGAACCTATAATTTGTTTATGCATTATAAATTTTACTTTTATTAATTATTATACATTACTATTAAAAAATTACATTAATTTAATGATTAATTGCTACAAACCTCTAGAACTCCAGCAGCTACAGATAAAAGTTTCAATAAGTTCCTTGATATTCCTTCAGTAGATTGTCTTCGAACCAAATATTCTTTAGCTACATCAATAAACAAGTGTTCAATAGATGTTTGATTTGTACTATATCTTGGCATTACAGTTACTTCATTAAATTCTGGTAGTGATGGTGTAGACTCTCCAGCATTCATAGTATCCAAAAAGTCCAATGGAATATAAGGAGATAGGCGTGTATCAATACTTACTTTGATGTTATCAATAAAAAATTTACAATCTTCATTATCCACCCATAATCTTTCTCCCATTGAATCTTCAATAAATACTTTCACAAATGCTTCAGGCCAATTAGTTACTTTATCATGTGTAGCCATTATCAAATTAATTGATGTTACGGCTGAAATAATATTATACTGGCGTTGTTTTGTAGAAACAGTAGAATGGCATGCTATAATAGAGCACAAGGCATTAATAACTTCTTCATTTTGAAATAATGTTGGATATGTACGAGCAGTAATCAATAAGCCCCAAAAAAGATCTGGTTTTAATTTTTGTGTATGCATGGTTTTTAACACACCAAAAAGAAGTCCCATCTATAAAAATAAATAATAAATATCAATAAAACAATAATGAATAAAAAAAAATTAATGGAGAGATGATAAAGTACATGAGAATATTCAGACATATCTAATATCTCATATTGTTATTAGGAAAGAGAAGATTAATAACTCAATTAATGATTTTTAAACATCCAATAAATGAAATAAAATTATTATAATTTCTATGATTGTAGTACTAAATGATTCTACTACAGAAAAAATGAAGAATAGTTGTAAAAAACTTACAGCTTTAAGATTTTCTTGATTTTGAGATGCATAACTTATTGAGTCAAAAAAATCAATAGAATCAACATCAATACACATTTGCTCCCAAGCAAATGATGAATTATTTGATCCAGTATGTGATTTTGGTTTTTTAGTTGGAATATTAGTTGTTAAAGGTGGTCCAGCACGTTTTCTATCTACATTAAAAGATTAAATTGAGAAGTAAAATTTAATTTAATTTACAATTAAAAATGATTGATTAAATATTTGTCTAAATTAAAAATTAATATATAGTGAGATACTTCCATTGAAAACATTTTTTAAGCACTATCACTCATCATTGTCAATCAATACTTTTATACAAATACATAATGATTCAATAAATAAAATGTCTAAATTAAATTACCAGTTATACTCGATTCCATTAATTTTCTATGTAAAAGTAAATTACTGCCTCTTTTTTCTTGTGGATTTGGTTCAACACGACTAGTACTTTTTGATCCCAAAGCCACCAAATCTCCAGGAAGATATGCATTTTTTGACTTACCACCACGACTCATAGTAATCAAATTTTATATACTTTATAACAATATAATATAAATATCAAGTTATTTCAAACCTGATATGTTAATATTAAATTTAAAAACCAAAACACTTAAATTATTTTTATTAATAGAACTTGACATTTCTTGATAAAAAACTTCATGAAAATATGTAAATTTAACTATACTACAAATCAAACTATCATGATATTCCATACGATTTTTTTGATTTTCTTCTAGTAATTAATATGACAAAATACAAATTTCGTCATGATGAAGTAATCGTACGAACCGGGTTAAACTTTGTTTATCACAAAATCTATAAACATTCAAAAAAAAAATACCAAAATCATTTTTGATAATACTAAAATAGGGTTTCTCAACGTGGCTACAGCATTTAGAACCACATAATGGTTTACGTCAGGCTATCATTGATAATAATTATTTGTGTGTAGTAGGATGATTAAGTTGATAACCGGTAGGCAATGTCTCGACAAGTTTTCAGTTTTGAAAATGTTTCGTGATTTTAACCGAGTGCAATTAATTGGTCAATAATTATTTATTTATTTATTATGGAAACTGATAGTCAGGGGGTTATTTATATTGAAAATTGGAACGATTTGTGCCGTTTATGTTTACGTAATGATCAACCATTGCATAACTTATACTGTGATGAATCTTTTTTAGTAAATGTTCAAGAGGCCTCTAATATTAATGTAAGTAATTTTTTTGTGTACTAAATTATATACAATAAAAATTATTTTAATTGAAATATTTTTTAATTAGATTTGCATTGATGATACATTACCAAATTCTATATGCAAAGCTTGTGTTGAACAAGTCAATTCTTTTATTGAATTTCGTGAACGATGTAAAGCCACTGATGAATGGTTACGTAACGAAGCTGCGTCTAATGAAAATGAACAGAAGGTAATAGTTGACTTCAACAATTTTTTAATTTGAACAGTTAATATTTAAGGTTTTAATTATTTGAATTTACAAGGTATAAAAAATTGGCATTTAAACATTTGTGCCGTCGTTCCGGTGTCTAAATTATATGTTGAATTTAATACATTTTGGTGTACGTGTGTGTTCCAGGACAATATTGAAATTGTAGAAATAAAGGACATTTGGAACGACGGTACATACTCTGATAATATTGAAAGTTTGAGTTCTCATTCAGATATAGAAAATATTGATGACAAGTATCTGTCATGTAATGATTGTGGCAAAGACTTTCAAACATCCAAACAATTAACACTTCACAAAAAAAAATATCCTGTCAAACATAGCAAATGTCAATCATGCAATGAAGTAATTTTATCTAAAGATGTGGATCAAAATTCTTTATTGAAAAAATCTACTAAACTCTGTGTAAGATGTGATAAGTTGAAATTTTCCTACAGTCAACGAATTCAAAATTGTACTAATGGATCTTATATTGCTATTGATGGAGGTTTCTTATGTGAACATTGCAATAAAGTTTTCAAAACACTTTCTAGTATTCAATTACATGTTAAAAGCTATGACAAAAAACAAGATTCAAGTTCTTCAAGTTATAAATGCCATTTCTGTGATAATTTATTTGTTACTATTCAACAGGTTTGGCTACATATGAAATCTCATACACCAGGAGAAAAAATTAAATGCCGATATTGTGATAAATATTTTAAATCGTATCTAACACTTGTACGTCATGAAAAAAAACATGAAGGTAGTTTTAATTATGTGTGTTCATACTGTGGTAAAGCATTTGTGACACCTTATGGTCGTGANTGGTAAAGCATTTGTGACACCTTATGGTCGTGATAGACATGAAATGACTCACAATGCAGCTAAAGAAGTTCAATGCGAAAAATGTATAATGACATTTTATACTAGAGCTGAATATAATAGACATATGAGATATCATGATAATATTAGAAATTTCTTATGTTCATTTTGTGGCAAACGATTCTTTGAAAGTGCTCATAAAACTATCCATGAACGTACACACACAGGTGAACGTCCATTTGCCTGTAGTTTTTGTGGAAAAAAATTCATGTCTAAACAGAAAGCCCGAAGGCATCAAGCAATTCATTTAAAACATAAACAGAAATGAAATTCTTTAGTATCTATTATTGTAGTTTATTATAAATATAATTATAATAATATTGCTATTATAAGTGTCAAGATTTTAATTCATTTCCTAAGAGAATTATAATTAAAAATTTGTTTATTTATTTAATTAATTGTTTTTTATTTATAATGTTATACCATTATTTTAGTATTTTTTTTAATAACTCCAATATTTTATGTTTATTAAAATGATAGTTGAATGGGTTACTACTATCAATTTTTTAAACAGTTTAAAGTAAACAAATAACTAAAATGTAATGGTCCAAAAAATAAATAATAAAAATAATATTCATAAATTACATACAGGTGTTAAGTAAGGAAACAGGTCAATTGTTATAAACAATAAGAGCAATAAAAACCCATTTCCTTACATAATACTCTATATAAAAGATAATTTTAAGTGTTCATTAAAAAACACTTTTATAGTTTCTTTTGACTCAGAATTTGACTTGGTAAACTCTTTTATAATCAGTTTTATTGCAATTATAAGTTTATTATTACTGTTGTGTACTTTATTAATATGAATGTGTGATAATCCATAAATTATACCTTATAAAAATGTTTATATTTTTTTACTATTTTATAAAAAAATTATTCACTGTGTATAATTTATTATTTTTTTTAAATTATATTGCTAGGTTTTTTTTTTTTTTATAAAATATTTTAAGCACAAAATATACTCTGTAGTAAACAAATAAAAAATCTGAAAAAAAAATGAAAAATTGTATCACCAGAACTTGTTTTACAAATAATTTATCTATAATCTGTTAATCCTAAAATATCGAAAAAAAATGTATGGTAATTATTATGAGATTGAAAATTATATTTATTAGGTGTTGATAAAAATTGTAAAATGTTATATAGCACATTATAATTTCCATCTTTTGTAAAATTGTCTATATTAGTTGAAAATGATCCAATAAGTTGTTCTGTATACAATTATAGTACAAATTATTTTAACTAATTTAAATATTTAACTATTCCTATGTAACAACACGGACAAATAATAATTAACATTTTAATTTTAGGATACTGTTATTGTCTCAGATGACTGTGAGATTAATTCTAAAGAAATTTTATTAATTGAATCAAATCAACTTGAAGAGCAACTTATTGATGACCCTGGTGTAGTTGATGATCAAACAGTTGAAAATGAAATAGAGTTACCTAATTGTATAGTACAATCTGAAGAAGTAATGGATGACATACAACTATCTATTAATGAAGAGACATTAAATACAACTAGTACAAGTGATTTTCAATGTAATGTTTGCGGAAAAGAATTACTGTCAGCTTACACTCTTGTAAACCATATGCGTTCTCACACGGGAGAACGTCCATATGGATGCAGTGTTTGTGAAAAATTCTTTAAAACCAAGTCTAACCTTAATGAACATTATCGGTAATCTACTATTTTATTTATAATTATATTTATAGACATAGTAATTATACAGAATAATTTTTTAAACGCTAACTACTCAGTTTATCTTAAACTAATAATTGTTTTTTTAGTGGGACGGTGTGGCCGAGTCGGTAACGCGGCAGCGCTTGACGCGTAGTGTCTCAGGTTCAAAACTCGGTCACGGGCGGCTTCATTTACCGAACGAGAGATCAGTTCGGTAATTTGGAGTCGCCATCCCACCTCCGGCGACGGACTAACCACCCGTCCCGGAGTATAAATGGTTAAGAAACCTCCTCCTTTGGGGAGGCCGCTGTGGCCCTTAATGGGCTAATAAAAGCGCGTAAAAAAAAAAAAAAAAAAAAAAATAATTGTTTTAAGAAAATTTTTCTTCGTATTTTTGAATGTCATATACTTCTTGATTTATCAGCTTGTTAATATTTTTTAGAATCATCCCTTATAACTTAAAAAAGTGTCAACTCTATTTTTTTAAATGTCAACATACATATTTAAGGAACTTACTAAATAGAGAATAATTTAAATAAGAAAATGACTGGATGATAACAATTTCTGGATCAGTATTTTAGAAGTTATTTTCATTTTTATATCTAGGCAGGATGAACAGTACAGTTGGGAATAACTAGTGATTATAATAGCAGCACTGGCTCCTCTTTTCCAGTCATTACTTTAAATTGTTAAAAATTTCTGAAATAATAGCCAAAAGTTGTTGTCAATAAGTCATTTTCTTAATTAGATTATGCCCTATTTAATATGTTGATCAATAAAAACTTTTGAACCAGTACTTCAAAAATTATTAACATTTTTACACTCAGATAGGAGGAGATGTGGCCAAGAAATGTCTTATGATAAGTATATCTGCCATATCTGCACCTCACCACCAGTCTATGTTTAAAAATAGTAATAATTTACCAAATAATGTGTCAAAAGTTGTTATCACTAACTCAATTTCATAATCATATAATTTTTTATTTTATAAGATAATTAAATATGTATGTTTTAATTTGAAAAATAAAGTTGACATCTTTATAAGATATAAGGGATTAATTAAAATACTACTTAATAACTGATTACTACTTAATCAATCAAGAAGTATATGAAACTATAATATACTGAAAAAAATTNTCAAGAAGTATATGAAACTATAATATACTGAAAAAAATTATTACTTAAAAAGTAATTGAGTGACTAACAGTCACCTTGTATTTCTGGGGTTTGAGTTTAAAAGGGTCAATGTACAAAAATTAAACAATAAATTCTATTTTTTTTTATCACTACTGTAGAAGAATAATAAATGATTACAATATGATTTAAAGTTTTCTTTAAGGAAAAATAATATTTCTTTCTAAAAAAACTTACTTAAATCACATTGCCAATATATTTAGTTTTTCTACATTTTTATACATTGACTCTTTTAAACCCAAGCTCCAAATATATTTGCTCTAGCTTAGCTAACTTTTTATTAACTTTTCCTAATTTTATTTAATTTCTTTATTATTTATAATATAATTTTATTTTCAGTGTTCACAATCCAGAACTTCGTTGGATGAAAACTTCTAGTCGAGACATTCCTTCCATAACTAGAGTGACTGTTACATCAGAAGATATACTCACTTGTAACCAATGTTCTAAAGTATTTGTTAGTCTTGATGAATTATCAGCACATGAGCATACCCATGGAGATGAACAGTTCACATGTGAGAAATGTAACAAGAGTTTCAACTCTAAACCTGAACTTACAGTACATATTAGAAGTAATTGTTGTAGCAGTTTAGAATTAGAAGTAAATGCAGATAGACAGTGTCCTTTTTGTGGCAAACAGTTCCGATCAGCTGCTACTCTAGAAAACCACAAGCGAGTGCATACCAGAGAAAAACCATTTTCTTGTGAGTTGTGCTCCAAACCTTTTCGCACAAAAGGCAATTTATTGGAACATAAACGAGTGCATAATAATAGCATGTGGTTAATGAAAAGTGATACAAAACTAACTGAAAATGAACAGAAATTCAAGTGCACTTATTGTGAAAAACCTTTTCGTACGTATACTGCCTTGTTGAACCATGAACGGGTCCATACTAGAGAAAAGCCTTTTGAATGTTCTGTTTGTGGAAAATGTTTTAGAACAAAATCCAACATGACAGAACATATGAAAGGCTGCCATGATGTTGATTTTACAACTTGTGCATCTGATGAGGTTCAAGTTTTCACATTTAAAACTAATTCAGTTTCTTGAATGGAAACTGAATGTATAATAAAAATATATATTAATTCAAAATTTAAAATGAAGAATACACAAATGGACACGTTACGACCAGAGTACTTATAAGGATAACATTTACAAATTAAAAATAGTCATATGTATAGTAATTTTTAATTTGGTATATTTAAGTATTATTAATTTACAATTTGAACAACCAATACACTTATATTTTAATTATTAGTGAACTGTTTAATAATAATTATTAGTATTAATTCGACATTGTTTGGTTAAAAAGAAAAACAAACTATAATTTATGTACAATTTTTGTTTTTTTTTATTAAGCTATAATTTTTTTTAAATTACAATCATAATTATTACTATACTATTTACATTTATAATTAAATAACTCCAAATATCGTTGAAAATTGCACGATTTTAATATTTTTTAATTCAATGTTGTTGTTCTACTTGACAGCCTGGCGTCACTGCAAACGTGGCCAGTATTGGGCAGATAAGTCTGTTGTATGTCCTGGAACAGCTATTGGTACTGATACACCGGGCGATATAAGACCTTAAATAAACAATAAATACGTACAATTCAATTTCAACTAACATATTAATCTATACTAATTGATATGAGTATTATTTATTTTTTAATGTTTAGTGTCAGTATAAGCTTGACTTTTAGTTCAAACTAATTGACCGATTTCCTTATAAATAACTAGTTCAGTAACGAAACAAAGATTTGTTCAACATAAAATTTTAACTAACGAGTTTAATTTCCAAAATCCAAATAAGAAACTAGTAACTAAATGTTTTTTTTTTTTTTTTTAACATGATCATTTACACGTAATTGAAAAATAATCCTCTTATGTTTAAGTTTAAATTTAAAAACATATAAGGCCATGTGATTGACGAATATTTGTATGTCTTTTTAGAATATTTAAGTGATCATTCAAATTCAACACTTTCTTAATAAAGGTATACATAATAAATTCGGCAAACGGTAAAAATGTTGAAAACTAATGAGTTAAAAATTTACATCATATCGAGAGTGTTCAATTTTAGAGGTATTCTGTAACTTGACCGGTAGCTTTAAAATTTCATAAGAGTTTGTGCATTTAAAATTTGAAATAACACATAAAGTTTTAAAACGCAGCATAACATATTAATATGAACTATACCTGTCGAGTTAGAACTGTTCATGTTATACTGATGATGGGCATGATGATGTGGATGGTGACCGTTAATTGATGATGGTGGGGGATGGTGGTGATATGCGGTGTGGTGAGCTGGTGGACTACTGTTCGGAGTCGGTGACAATGGCGGTCGTAAATATCCTGGCGTTCCAATAGCTAATGGCGGAGATGTGTCATACGTCGGCCTAGACATACAACCGTATGCGTCTCGTTGATCGCCAGTTATCGAATGATGTCCCGGCATAATGGACAGGGACAGCCCGTTCTCATTATTGCTGCTCGGCATGCCGAAGTTCATTGACATTGGCCTAAAAACAATTTTTTTTATTTAAATGCCAATCTTATATAAAATGAATTTCTGAATAAATATTATCGTTTGTTCGCTCAAGTACAAGTAGTAGTAGTAGTAGTAGTAGTCAGTTAGTTGACAATTTCTATAGATTGTACGATAATATCATCATGTTTTCAGTTGGTTATTTCAGACAGATTAAATACAGAAACAAGTTGATTAAAAATATTTACAGGAAAACTTCAAGTCCCTCGGCACAACATTTAACAAATCGGCGTGTAAAATTATTCATGGCGTGTAGACAAAGAGGCATAAATATGACGATTTTTCATCAATGTACCTTTTTTACAGATACAGTGTTGGCGAAAAAATGCATTATTTATAAACTATTTTTGCATTATACTATGGATTTTTTTTTATAATTTACATAAAAATTAGTTCATTTTTGGTATCGAACATTTTTCAACGAGTATTTCTTTAGAAGCCATCTTACAGTTACATTTGACCTCTTCGGGATATCCTTTAATTCCGAGACTTTAAATATAAGGCAGCTATGGTATATTATGTACATTAGTGTAAAAATAGTATATGAAAAATGTCGATGGGCTGGCTGCACTGGTTAACTGAAAATTGGTAAAGGGAATTCAGCAATACAGTTTATTATCTGAATGTGCAATGAACATTGATCTAATTTTAATCGATCCACACTCGCGAAAAAAAATTCCAACTTTGAGTATTCAGTCTTAACAAACTTGAGACAACATTTATTCGGAAATATTTCTTACCCAAAAGCGTCGTGTCCGCCAATCGTGGTGTACATGTTAGGATTAGGTTCGGTGTTGTTGTTCGTTGTGAACCCGTTCATCCGACTAGGAGACGTTTGCTGCTGTTGCTGCTGTTGTTGATTCTGCGGGTCCATCGATTGTTGGTTTTGGTTGGAGTTGGGGCGACGTTGTGTCCGAAGCTTTTCTTCCCTTCGCCATTTAGCGCGACGGTTAGAAAACCAAACCTAGCAAATGCATAATAAAAAAAAATAAATAAACGCTGCTTCAAACGACTCGACAGAATATTAGTACAGTAATAGGACCGCATAAGTAACACTGTGGTTAAAATACCTGAATTCTGGCTTCGGGCAACCCAATTTTGCCGGCAAGTCTCTCTCTGGCAAACACGTCTGGATAGTGAGTCCGTTCGAATTCTACGAACACGCAAATATCGGTAAGACTATTATCGAATTTTAACAACACAATTCATTGCTCACCTTTTTCCAGACTGTCTATTTGCTCGTTCGTAAATGACGTCCGGTTTCGCTGCAGTTTTCTTTTGAGTCTAAGTCTCGCCTGGTCGTCGTCGTTTGTTGATCCAGGAGCACATCCTCCCAGAGATCCGTCGTGATTGGAATTGTCACCAATGGAAGTACAAGTCTCGTCCGAACCCATTCCGCCGTCTAAATCTAAAACTATCCAATAAACTCCGGTAAGAACCCGTTGTGTTTTTTTAATTTGCGGGAAACGCATTGTTAGTACAACGATAGTCACATTGGGACGTGTACTGTTGAAAATTCTAGTGGCTACAAAATAGGCAGCAACTTTGTAATCATTTATTAAATAGAAATATTTTTCCAAGACGCCATCAGTCAACGCCTAACACAATGCCATCACGACGTTTTTATGTTTTATAAATCGTCATACGTTGCAGAGTACGATAAAACTTTAGGCGCGCAAATATTTCCTTCGATAAAATTTCAATTCGTCGCGTGTACTTAAATTTGCGTTACATTTGTTTTCATAGTTATCACACACATACGCTTAACGGAGCCCATAAAAAATGAATGTTTATTCGACCAATGTAAAATACACGGTTTGGGTTTAAAACATAAAATATGAAAACATTTGTACGGCCGTGGTGCGAATTGATGTCGGCAAAGTGAAAATTCTGACCCGTTGAATGTACCACATGCATATTAATATTATTATTATGTACAACAGCGACAGCCTTGTGCACATACAGCGGTATTAACTAAAACAATTTTAAAGGTCTGAGTTTATGACGTGAAAGATACCGCCATTCCCAGTCGTCATATCCATACACGTATACGTATGTTGTGTACACCAAAGGGATGATTATTACAGAAGCCGCGTAACCCCCTTCCGTAGCAGCACATGTGTATATGCGGGGCAGCCGCGACGTCGACTTTTGGGGTTCAAATTGCTCATTGGACCGCGCCGATCGACTGTGGGTCGGACCCGTTGGCAGCGAGAGGGGAAACGCGACAAGGGGTTCGTGTGCCGCCGCGTGTACACGCGGTGTTTTTTCGTCGATTTTTTTGTTCAAACGATGATGGTGCGACAAAACGGCCGGGAGGGTCGACGCTTTTAACGAAATATATTATTAAGTATTACGACCGTATGTATACCTAACGGGTGCGACATGGGCACCGCTAAACGGGCGTCGGCTGGTCGATGATAAAAAATAATAATCCCTCTCCGATAAATCGTGACGGGAAATCACGTTTTTCGTACTCGCGGCCGATCCAGAAACATTGTGCGCGATCCGAGTACCGATCGAACCGGCTTTTGGTATACAACACAAGCATTTCCGGAATAATTCATAAATTTCATCATATTTCGGGTGCGTGTCGCCCTGTACGCCTCCTCCGTCCGTTATCTTTGTAATTTTCGGACCGATAGCGTGTAGGTTTATCGCCTTCGGGGTACGAGAGCGCATGGGAGTAATGTGCATTGCGGACCGTGGCACGTCGGATAACGGCGGTAAAATGTGTGCCCGACAGGGAAAAGCCCAGCGCCGTTTATGGGGCGATAAAGTGGCGGAGAGGTATGTGGCCGCGGACGGAGGGAAGGGATCAGTTGTCGGGCCAAAATCGTGAGACGACATTACGATAAACGCGAAGGGAAGGTGGCCGCGATAAGGAAACCCAGAGGGGAGTGAAGCGGCGGGGCTGTGCGGGTTGGAGGACACGGTGCGCACAGTCTTATCAGCAACTTTCTACTCCAACGGTCCGCATTCATCCGAACGAGCCTTTCTATGGTAAAATATACGGCGGCGGTCTCGGTCGTTATCACTCGCACACACACACACACACTACTCGCGACTGCTGTTCGTATACACGAGTAAATGTAATGTGTACACGACGCGGTGGTGAATAAAAACTATACAACACAAGGTGTATGAACGTGACCGCCGCTATTACTCAACCGGCAGACGACGTTTTTGCTACTGGCCGCGCAATACCGTTTTCTTTATCGAGAAAAATAAATAAATCTCGTCGTTATCCGCCGCCGCCTTTGCACGCCGACACGCGTAATAAATAACAGTAATGCGAACCTCATAAACGGTTAACAAATGTTGGAAAAAACGGCATTGCCACAGTGATGGCCAAAAGCTGGCAAAAAAACGTTGTAAACATCGGAATTGTATTAAAAATAAAAATGGCACGTGGTTCGGTTGCAGGTTCTATAAATTTTTTTGGTAAAGTTTCTTTTCCAACTCCATTGTTTGCCAACCGCAGCGGTTCGAAAGTGAAAAAAGTTTTTCGGCACAGCTCGAGTATGGAAAAATTGACGGGAAACGAGGCAAATTCATCGGCAGCCAGACAAATTGAACAGTGTACGGCCGAGAAACGAACCTTTTTTTTTTACTCTCGGCGGTTGGGGTCGAGAAATGAACCATTTTTTTTTTACTCTCGGCACATGGCACACCGCTCGTAACTCTCGTCAATTCGACTTACGAGCACTCGGACACACTCTCGGCGAGTTCTAAATTCTAAACGCATAACAATAATATATTATTAGGCGCACGAACAATAACAGCGCGAGGGCCGGCGGTGGACACATAAAATCGTTACTAACGTGTACACGTTCAGACCAATGAGCCGTGTGCGGTTCTCGATTGGCTGAACACGTAGACGGCTAATACGATTTTGCAAATTATAACAATAATGTACACTTATGTCACGTTCGACTTGCAGCGGTACAACACATTGCGCCCGATCGACTCGACCGGTGCACGCGCGTTTCCGTCTACTTGAGTAATCAATCCGTTGCCAAAGGTGCCAAAGGCCATGCAGCGCGCGATTGATAGCGCCGGCCGAGTAAAGGTATCGTCACTCCCAGCGACACAAACATCGGCGGCAATTCGAAACGCTGCCCGAGGCGTACGGTAACAATATAAACGACGGGCTTTTGATAGTTTTTAATCGGATTACGTTTTCTCTCTCGGTCTGTCTGTCGGCACACAACAGTCGTCGCGCATTACAAAAAGCACGTCACAAACAGTCCCGTTAAATAACCGCAACAACGTTACCCTTTTCTGTGGCCGCGGGGGCCACCGGCCCGTAAAAGATTTTCCGGAGCTCAAAAACGAACGGCACGTAATTATTTTTAAACGAATTGTCAAATTCAGAGACGCGTATTATGAAGAGAGCTTTTTTTCGTGCGTCTGCTGATAGTTTCCTCCTCCTCCTCCTGTACGCCGCCCCTCTTATTATGTTANTGTCCGCCGCCCCTCCTCTTATTATGTTAATATTACTTAGTTAAACTCAAACGAAATTGTGTGTTTGTGCAGTAGCTGCAACCGACGACTACGAAAATACTAATATTCGGATTGTTTTCTATTACAGAGTTTTTTTAATGACTTTTTCGCTTTTTGCGAGCGGTAACAACAATAAACCGTCTGTCTTTGGTATCGTGTTACGATAAATCGNGGTAACAACAATAAACCGCCTGTCTTTGGTATCGCGTTACGAGAAATCGAAGAATGCGCGCAAGACTAATACGAATGGAACTCGCATTGTTCCGGTTTACAACTTTTACACAAAAAAAAAAAAATAATTATAATGAAAAACTTCCTTACTTTGCCGTAAACTTGTTCTATTTATTCGAGATTACTTTTTTTTTTTTTAACTTTTAAAAATTCATAGATATTCTTTATTTTTCAAGATATTTTAACATATTACAAGAGCTGATTGGAAAAAAAAACGGTCGTATCCATACGTTTTAGAAATGGGCTTTCATTGATACGAGGAGATTATGTAAATGCCGCCAAGGAAAATTCGCGCGCAAATTACACGGGTAGTATTATATACACTCGGTCAGTCCATGTTTTTTTGAAAATCACAACGACAACATGTGCTCATTATCCGTTACGGTTTGCTGTTTTTGGAAGTGGAAAAATTGACGAGCGTTGAAAAAAATCACTCGCACTTGTAAATTTCATAAATATATAATTGCGAATTTAATCACACAATAGAGTACTACATTCGTTATTGCTAGTTAAAAATAACTCGTTAGAATAACAAAAATTACATATAATAGTAAAACCATATTGTTAAATAAACTTTCAGAGTTTCGAAAGAAATTTCAAGTAGATTATATTTTGGCAGTTCATATGTTTGCCCAAAAAAATAATTTTGTAGGATCGTAACTGTCTTATAAACTTTTGAGATGGTGAGAAATTCATTTAAACGAATTTCGAAAAGAAAACGCATAAAACCGTAGAGCGTAATAAGAATTTGCTGTGGCGTTTGTTTACGAAAAAAACACACTATCGCTGTTTACGCTTATGGGAAACGCAACAACAATATGCCGATCAGCACAACGGCTTTTTATGAGCGACGATAAAAATCTAAACGTTTTGCTCGACGAAACGTAATTCTTAGCGATTGCGCGAGTTGAATTTCAAAAGAACTTGCAGCCGATGTCTTTTCCGCGACACGGATTTTCTTTGGCGGTCCGTTTTTGCCCGCAACGAGTACGCGTCCCACTGATGTGGACGGACATTGCGCCGTGTCGCTCGGTACGCTTTGTCCCGGTGGGGTGTACGCTCGCGTATCTGCGTTGTTGTGTTTGCATTGGTGTTGCCGAGAAAGGTGTCATCGACAAAATCAGCTGCGCAACAGCCCGTCAGTCCAACACCGTTACACGCGGTAGTCCCACGCAGCAAATTATTCACGGTTAAACGGACGGGGGGCACGAGCGCGTGCAGTTTCATGTGCCCCACACGTCTGATGCATCAAACGTCACAATGCGCGCGTCGGTTGTACACGTTGCGACGGGACGTCGAAAACATACGCACGCGGCTGTGCGCGCGAAAAGTGCATTTTCGTACCGAAAGGGGCAAACGCGTTTGTACGGTCGTATTGCTTCCTATCGAATACAAGCGAACGAAACAGGGAAATTTCAGAAACCATATATTACTCTACTCGGCCTGTGTATTTCTTCGGCCTTTCTGCATTCCACCGGCGTTTATGTTTGTTCGGTATTTGCCTATATTGTGTCCCCGTTGAAAACCGGAATTCCGCGCCGTAGCAAAATTTAATATGGTTACCGCGTTCGCAACCGGAAAACCTTTTTCGTGGTATTGCCTCCCCGTTTCGTACACGTTCCTCTATCCAAATATTATAACCCTTCTTGGGTTTTTCTGTCTGCAGTAATCCCTTTGACATAACGTTTTCTTGTTTCCAACCAACCCCCCGGCGGAGCGACGGAGAGGAGCGCGTCATTTAAAGGCGACGGACAAAGAGAGAGTGCGAAATCCGGTTAGGAGTTTTATTTTATTTACGAGTTACTTTTTTTATTAATAAATTTTAACCAACCGTGTTTGCGAGAGCGCATCGACTAAAAAAATCCCATTTCGGCGCAGCACGCGGCAGCCCCTGTGCATAACATGTACACGCCGACAGACTCCGCCCATCAAACAGCAAAACGACCACACTTAAATATTCCTATCGGCCGCCAGTACAAATCACGTTGTTACAGAAAATTATTAACTACACACGGTTTCAAAAAAACGGCTATGCTTAACGCGTGGATATGTACATCTATGTTAAGTAAACATGACCAGAAGGACGAAAAACGCAGATAAAAAACCGACGGGGGGGTCTATAATATTTCGAATTGTTAATTAGAAAATATACATACCTTTTTTGTCGAGAATGTCAGGCAATACAGTGCAATTGCCAGTGTTTGGACTCAAACGACCGGATGGTTGCAGAGGCATGAACGGGTTGTCACCAGACGTCGGAGGGTACCTGTTTTAATAAAAAAACAAATGTGTGCGATTAGCAATGAAAACCATTTTGTGTTAAATAAAAAAATATGAATCAATACATATAGTAATCGGTTCCCACGCACCATGGATTTGGTCTTGGCCACGTTCCCGTCCCAGCAGCTTGCCCGTTTAATAACCTCAACTTGTCGTAAACTGCATCCGCTGAACTGCAAGTTGGAGACACCGACGTTGGAGCTTGTTGGTCTTTTTGGGCGGCTAAGTTTCTCAAAACGCGATTGATGGACGAGACCTGAATTAATGAAATTATGCGTTTTTATAGGCAACTATGATTTTTCAAAAATAGGATTACAAGTTACAGCTATTTAGAAGAAACCGTCTAAATTAAGCTGAAGACTAATTATTCTTTTTTATGATTACTACCGTTAACAATTGATATTTCTTATTAACAATTTACGCTATGAGAGTGTCATCAGCATAATTGAAACGAAACGGAGTATGACCTTAATGTCAAAATTATCGAATCGATTTTAAGTAGAATAAAATCGGCCGAGCGGTGTACTTATTAAGATTTGACTAACGAGCTGTATTGTACTCGAAATTCAAATGTTAACTAAAAAGAAAATTGATCGACGATTCAACTGCTAAGTAGGATAACAATTTATTTACAAAAGAAAAAATAGTAATAATTTCCAATCAATTTAATGTCGAAACTGGCGTCATCACAGTCGCCATTGTCTTCTCTCAGACACCGACCAATGTTTCACAGAATATTTTCACACTGCTGCAGAGACCCTATATATCATTTTTATTTTTTTTGTCTTTTGTTCCACTACCGCGAAGTAACCGCAAATTTCCGCCCGGAATATATTTCCTTCATTGCATGGCACTTGTTTTTGTGTGTGTGTGTCTTTCTTCTCTGCGTTTTCTTTAGTTTTTTATCACTCCAAAAACGTATACAGTGTCCGTTGCCTAAGTCTATACATGTATGTATGATCATGCATGTGTGTGTGCATTGTAAAAGACAGCACAGGCGTCAACGAGGGCTTTACTTGATGTGTCGCAAACGAATCCATAATGCATGAGTTTTGTTCGACTGTGATCATACCACCCAGCGCCCTCACTATATTTTTACCCCGAGGGTGTCCTAATGTCGTCGTATTTCCCTGTAGCGGCCGGAAAAACTTCGGGGTTTTTCACACTTTGATTACGGATTCTACCTATTCTCCTTACACCATCTCTCCCCCTCTGCCGCACAAACAAACCTACACAAAAGCTGTTGCACGGTGTAAATGTCGAAAAGATTCCCACATTCACTTGCGAACACCGTCCGAGTACAAATTACCGCCTAATATTTTTCCTTGCACTTTTTATCCGTTTATGAAATGAAGATTCTCTTATGTAAATAAAATCCAATGCATTCGACAGTTTCAAGTCGGCACATCGAATGTTTTGGACAACATTTAGAAATAATTTTGGCAGAACTAAATTTATCTACTAATTTGAATGGCGACTCAATGAAAAAACACTCAGTCTCCCAGAGCCTGTCGTTAAGATGCATGTAACTAATGTAAAAACTTTTTGCTATACGAGCGAGTGAGATACGAAAAATAAAACTCCCAACTGGCGATGATTATTGTGCGACGGAATATATTTTTTATCGCGGGTCATTTAAATTTAACAGCAAACACTAAAATGAATGCATTAATGGGTTTCTAGAAAGTTAAAAGTAATTCGTCTTCACGACATGGATACACTTTGCTTGTTTTAAAACTTCCAAAAGTCTTTTGTTAAAACTAATACCACTAACTAAAATATAACCCTAAGTTTTGTTTCGCTTTGCATAAATAAAATTTTGTACAATCACAAATAAGCTAACAAATAATATTAGCATGAAATGTTTAAGTTTTTACATTCTTCGAGCCTTTTATGGCTTTATTGAGTTAAAGTACTAGTTCTAAATGATAAAAATTGTTGACGGAGAACAGTATACAGAGTGATGGGTTTATCATAATCCACTTGATTATTCGCAAAATGAACACAATATTAGAAAAACAAATTTCTTTTAGTTACATATAATTATCAGTAACTAATAATTATTTTTTTGAATCAACCTTTATAACTTGGTGTTAACTATACTTTTTTAAA